AGATATGTGATGAACCGGAATCACCACATGAGGGGCCGTGTTTAAGATGTGTGTTAGCCTGGATCGCCAAATAAGCGGGCGCGTATGGGCACATTTAAGACGTATGATGAACCGGTCGCGCCCAACGGGGGGGAGGGGGGCGCATTTCAGATATATGATGAACCGGAATCGGCGCATGAGGAACATGTTTACAGATGAACGGGAAGAGGGGGTGTGTTGAAGATATATGATGAACCGGAGGATGTATGATGAACCGGCATGGAGAAATAATTTCGCGCTTAAGAAATATGACGAGCAAAACCGGACAATGCAAATCGCAATGCCCCAATATCCCTGCAAATTGGAATTCCCCAATAGCTTGGCGCAAGACAGGAGCCTCGAAATTGTAATCCCCCAAAGGCTTTTGGCAAGACCACAGATTGCAAATTGTGCAAACTGTAACTCTACACTAGCTTGGCGCAAAGGAAGACCCTGCAAATTACAATTCCCCAAAAACTTGGCACAAGACTGGAGCCTGGGGCCAAACAGGACCGTGCAAATTGCAAATCCCGAATAGCTTGATGCAAAACAGGAGCAAACGCTGCAGTTTACAGTTTTTGGAACCAAAAAAGAGAGCCAATGTTAGCATAGAACACGCTGGACCGCCAGCGCGAAAAGAAAAAGCCTCCGCCGCACTGAGCCACGATGTTGCAGTTGATGATGCTATATTGTTAGCATGCTGCGCCGGGTTCTGTTTCGGATGCCGGGACCGATTAAGTTTACTTGTTACTATCACGACACGAACGTAAATTATTCAAGGACAGCAGCAGCGACCATTGAGCCGCTGCTGTGCTGCTGCCACTGCTGATCACTGCTGTGTTTCCCCACTGTCGTCTTGTAACTTCGGTAGCCTGTTGACAGTCAAGCAGTTCAGAGCCGACTGTATGAGCCCGGGGCAGGACGATGCTTTGGTACCGCACAGGGTCTCGTTACCGCGATCCGCATTTCCTTGCAGCCCGATTTGGGGACAAGATCGGCCTGGCAGTGGCTCCTTGTCAGTCCGATGGCAAGTGCATTATCATGCATGTGAGGTTTAGTTCCTAATCCAGCTGAGGTTTTCGTGAGCCTTTACTGGGAGATTGGTGCCGAAACGGAGTTGGCCAGCGTCCAGTGGGCCTGGCTGAAGGGGGTCGGAACATGGATTTGTGGGAGGGCTTGGTGCGTTCAGTCTGTGAGTGCTTGACACGTCTCCTTGTACTTGATGGTGGCATCTCGCTTTTTCAACGGTTCGAGTGCTTAGACACAACTGTGCCGGTTGCAAGGTCCACATGTGGAATTTTCTTTTTTCTGGTGGCGATGTGTGGATTCACGGCCACCAGCTTCCTTCCCGCTTTGGTCCTGGAGCGTGCGCTTTTCTACCGCGAGCGGGCTGACGGACTCTACAACAGCGTGACCTACTACGTCGCGAAACTCATTGAGGAGGCACGTCCACGAGTCTGAATATCATGTCGGATTGGTAGGTGCATACTGGAAAGTGGTTCGCGATGATGGTCCGTGCCACGCACCCTAACACCGGGATACAACGAGCTTCTTAACCCCTGTGTTTTCATTGCAGTCCTCATCCGATGGGCGACCCCAAGAGCTACAAAGCCCGTGAATATCCGAAGACCAAGAATTGCTGATGTGCATTGATTTTCACGCTCCCTCACGCATGTCCCAGCAATGCACGGGACTCCTGATGCTTGTGGCCAAGCAATCTACCACAAGAAGGGTCGCCTCAAGACACCAAACAGAGACAACATAAGTTGTTTGAACTCATTAGAATCGGAAATATTTATCAACCTATCTGTCTATCTACCTGTCTCCATAAACAGACACACACACACACACGCACACATATATATATATACATACACACACAATACATACATACATACAGCAGGGACGCAGACCGCGCATGGGGAGACCTCATCTGGCAAGCCCGGGTTGTGAGAGCTTATGCAACTGTTTGTGTGTGTGTGTGTTTGTTTGTTTGTTTGCCTGTCTGTCTGTCTGCCTGCCTGCCTGCCTGGCTGTCTGTCTGTCTGTCTGTCTGTCTGTCTGTCTGTGAGTGCGTGTGTGCGGGTATGTGTGTGTGTGCAAAGTATATATGTATATAAGTTTATATACATATTTTATGTACACACACGCATATACATATATATATATATAGCACTGCTAGCTGCGTACCAACTTGGTCGTCGCAGATTGAAAGTCTGTTCATGCCCTACAGCCATTTAGCTCCCCAAGTGGAGGAATTCCTGCGGTTGCTCGTAAATATTTCCCTTGCAAGGGTCCAACGTCCTGTTTTGTTTCTTGGCCCGACCATCCCTCAAAAAGCCTCAAAAACACCAAGAGCTTCTCAGGCAGTGATGAGCATTGTGATTATCTTCCTTTTCAGCCTGGCGCTGTGCTCGGCCCTGGACCTGCGCGGCTCCTTCTGGGTCTTTGCCGCAACGCTCTACACTACCAACTTCATAGGCGCCTCGTTTTCGATTGTAAGCCTGAGACCTCCAGGCTCTTGCATATTTTATAGGAGCCATGTTCAAAGCTTCAAAGGACCTTCATGAACTTCCCAAGACGAATTGTGCTGGCCCGAAGTGTAGACACCAGGGGATGGTGGCAGGTCATTTGTTTATGGTTTATTGATGCTCAAAGGGTCTATAAGGCCTCTGACCTCAGGCATTGTAGTCGCCTATGCCATTGCAGCCATTGCTCCAAACATGGAGATTGCGAATGCAACGCTCCCTGCTTACTTGGCATCCACAGCCTGCGTTTGTGGCTTCTTCATCCTGTGCGAGCGCCTTCAGCTGCTACTCAAGTTTTGCAAGGTTCCCGGTTTGTACGGACATCGCAGCAAGGGAGTGCGGGAGTACAGTAGTTAGGGCAGGTGCTATTTGGCAAATGGGTACGTGTAATTGTGAAGGCTTATAGGTTTCCACCCGCCGGACTGCAAACGCAAACACCCCGTGTGCCTTGAGACAGACGGGGTGCCCGACGAGGTTTGTAAATGAAAAACCACACTGATATTGCGACGCCGAAGGCGGTATTCCGCTTCCCGATTTACTCCTCAGGAACATGGCCTACCCGTGGCAGTGCTACTCAGCAGTGTCTTTCATGAAGTACGCCTGGGCACTGCTGATGCTGAACCACTTTCAAGATCATCCAGGCTGGGTCATGCGGCCTTGTGGCGCAACAGCCGCAAGGAAGGGCTGCCATTCCACGCTGAAGAGGGCGCAGTGCTATACAGTACTGTACTGTAAGGGGGTATTGTGTTTCCATGACCTTGTCTTGAACAAAACCTACCGTCGCTGCATGCTTTGATCACGTTCGAGCTGCAGCTGCCAATCCAGTACCGGATGAATAACATCATTTCGACATTTTGCATGGCATGTGCATGTCCCAGGTGGTGAATCGCTTTACTATTACAAAGATGGGGAGCTGGTCAACGTGATTGAGCCTTGTCATCTGCAATGCAGCAGGGTTCTTTCGACAATTGAGCTTTGTCGCCACACCTTGTACCTTCCTTTAGATTCTGTCAGGAAACAGCTGGTTCTTTACTGATCTAACTCGTGTCGGACAGAAGCCAACCTGCATAGGACTTCTATGGCATGGATGAAGGCATCACCTCCAGCATCCCGGTCTGTTTCGCTGCACTGATTCTCGGCCTTTCTCGTCAAGGTTGTTTCGCATGTTTCGATTTTTCGGCTTGAGCAGCAACTTCCCGAGGATTGGTTTGTGGTCAGCGCTCCTCAGCTAAGACAACGTCTTATCTGCAAGCTCTCTATAGACTCCTTAGAGTCGAGATCTGGAGCACAACAACAACCAACGTCTTCATCGCCGGGGTTTTGCGGGTTGCCTGGGCTTTGGGCTGAAGCTGACTATGTCTGGCATTGGGGGGGGGACGGTAGATCCGGAGCTTCTGGAGGAAGCATCTGGACATCCATCCACACATATCAGACTGGAAGGAACGTGGCCAGACCACTTCCTCATAAGTATACTCTAGATAAAAACGAAGAAGCCTTCCTAATAGCTACTTTTGGAACAAAGTGTGTTAAAACAACTGCCATATGCACTTGAGCTATGTCGAGAAAAGCGATGGCGGGAGGGAGGGCCAGCCAGCCGGACAGCCTGCATACAGAATGGGCAGCGCAGCAAGCCGAAGATGGGTGGGGGCGGACTCCGAGCATATGCGGCATAGGAGAAGAAGATCCAGCTCCTGGACCGTGACGACTGACGGTTGAGTGACATGAGAAGGGGGGGCAGTCCGCAAGACAGATGAGGACCGCGTTCTGAGGAGCCGTGAGGGGAGAGAACTGAGAGTTCTTTGTGGTGCTGGCTGTAGTTTTCGAGCAAGCTTGATGTTAGCCGAGCGCTCCCCCCAAAACGTTGGTATGGAGACCGAATTAGGCCATTCACTAAGACTGCGATTGAATCTTCTTTGTAGGTGGCCTACTTGTCCTAGACTTGCAGTAGTTCAAGGTTGCATTGGACCTACAGGCAGCACAGCGTCCAGGGGGAACCACAAGCCTTTCAGCTCACTCCGTTCCAAGACGGGGTGCACTCCCGGGCGGGGCCCTCTCTCCACCTGCAGACAGAGTTGTGAACCGTTACCCATGTTCGTTTCGTACCGCCGGGGCCCTAACACTTCCGATTCCCTACTCCGGAGGAAAGAAGGACCGACTGTCCGACAGTCGTAAAGCCCAGGCTGAATGCACTTTGGTCACATGATGTGCATGCTGAGGTGCTCCTAGTCATAGTCTTTTGCAGGGGTTCCGTTCCCCGCCGACTCTGACTTCTAGTCGTACCGATGGCCTAATAAGCCGCCTCTATAAGCTCCATCCAATGGAGGCCAAGACTTTCAAGCTTCGATGCTGTGGCGATTTGACCCGAGGTTCGTTGCCGCAGGCATCCTCGGCCTGGCCTTCGTTACGCACGCGCGGAGGCGACCCGGCTGAGGCCCAGCCTTCTTGGCCGCAGGGCCGTTTTGTAAGAAGGTCTTCAGCCTTGGGCTTGAACCTTGGATCAGTCCTCTTTTGGACCACGAGGATTTAAAAAGAGATGGGTAACGATATCAGGACGAGAAGACAGGGCAGACAAAACAAGATTGCCTAGGATCTGCTGAGGGAGAAAACAAGCGGAAGGCACGCGAAGCCATTCGCAGCAATCAAACTTCAAGCTCATGCAGGCACTCTTGCCAAACAACGCACAGCTCGCTTCTGCCAGACGGACACGTCCGTCCGGTAAGCTGCAAGCTTTCCTGCTCCCTTGGGACACGTGGCGTCGACCCGACAATGACCTAAGATGCGAACATACCAAAATCCAGCATGGACCGACAGGGACAAGAACAAGCCTTGCGATGAGCCTGACGCCTTACGTACTCTCCGAAAAATGCATCACACAGCAGTGACGTGCGACTTGGCGTCTTCGTCCTCGATTGTCCCCTGGCCGGAGGCTTTGCGCGGTTTGTAGTTTCCGAGATCCATGCAGTTGAGGTTTTTAAGCAGCGGAAATGCCACTGAGTTGAAAGCTAAGGTGATCCGTAAGGCTAGCCGACATCGTCACAGCCTTACGTCCTGAACTACAGCACAAGAAATACACCTTTAAGGAAGCATAGAAATTCACTGTTCGACGGGCCGGACTTCCGAAAAGTGGAATTCCGAAGGACCCATGACGATGCATGAGAAGTTCTCCGGCCATCATTGGCCATTTATGGCATCACAAGGCGAGTGCAGAACCCCGCAAGAGATGCAGACACCGGCCTCTTGCATAATCTCAATAATCCTTGTACTTGCAAAGGCGAGTTTGGGGGTTTTTTGCCATGTGCAGCAGTGCTTAGGTTCTGGTGCCACAAGGCTCCATGACACGATAGAGACGTTAATTCAACATAGCTCCCTCACAAGAATCAGAGGACTATGCCCAGCCGACTGCTTAAATTATTGTCAACACGTTTTCTTTCAACGACGCTGTATGTTCTTGGTCGCTGCCTACGATGCTTTTGACATGTCCTTGACGAGGACCATGACAAGCGCGGGTTGTTCCGAGAGCATGGCTTCCTCGATGTGTGCAAATCCCCAACTCTTGGACAGCAGACCCCAGTGTGTGAGGCTTTCCGAGGATGCCAAAATACAACGTCCATGAAGAGCGGCAGTGTCGATCATCATACCTTCTTTGCGTGTGCAAAACAGAGACCTCTGCAATCCTCCAGCGGCCCTGAGACCTGGAGGGTTTGGTCCAGACCCCTGATTGCAGGAGTCGCAGGACTTCGGAATGTCAGAGGTGCCGGACTCATGCGCAAGCGCATCGCACGCCGAATGTTTATCGAGACAGAGAGTTTTGGAGTTGAGTCTTGTTAGCAATACGCAGGAGGTCAGTGTTTGAATGTGTGGCAAGTCTTCGCCGTTATGTTATGATGGTCTGCATCACTTGCATCGCTTAAGTGGTGCTAAGAGCATGCTTGCAGCTGTGAGGTCGCAGGTTCGAAGTGTGTTTTGAGGATGCACGCGATGCTGGTTGGACTTCGCATGCAGGATATTGAGTGTGTTGTGTTAGCTCTTATGGTTTAAGACATACTGTTCGTACATACACACACGCACACACAAACATACACGCATACATGTCCCTGCATCCATAAAGTTCGAATTAGACTGAGATGTCCAGTAATGAGTCCCAACATGAGATTGTAGTAAATCATGAAATTCAAGCTGGAGACGAAGGATGGCATGCGGCAAGCCCCGCACCCCAAAAAACAACAAGCAAAATCCTTCGCATAGTCTTGACACCCACACAAGGGTGTACGAGGTGTTAGCACTGGATTTCTCGAAAATGCGATGTGCGAAAACTCGTAATCAGAAAAATCCGCCTCACCATGTCCCGGCCGTCTGGCACGGATTTGAATCGGGGAAGGTTTAGCCGCAAGAGCAGACAGCCTGTATAGGGAACCCTATAACTTGTAGAGTTTATTGGCGGCTCGGGGGAGGAGGGTGCCGCTTAAGGCGGAAAGGCCATGCAGTGATACAAGGGCATGTGCGCATGATGTCACGCTGCCCAGGGCGCGGTGGCCGGCGGGCTTGGGCCTGTGTGCTTGAACTTCAAGCAGTTTAGGGCATGAGGCGTTTCGAGTTTTCTGACTGGCAGGCTTGTCATGGTTGAACAAAACAAGATAGTGTGCCGTTGCCTTCAATTTGGCGATTGCAAGTCACCTGCTGTCACGAAATTGAAACCGAATTGATCCAGGCCTGGTGCACCGCCGCAGGCCCAGGCGGGGAGCCTTGCCCGACACGTTCGTGCCAATGAAACCGCACCAGCCTTGCTACTGAGGGCATAGCACTGCAGTTTTGCTTTGGTTGAGGTTTCCATCGACGTTGTGACATGCATACCCTTGAGGAGTATTGATCAAAACTGCCGGGCCGTGCTCTTCGAACTATCCGACCACCAGAATCGTCCGTCTCGGCGTGGGACGGCCTGGCCACTGCGCACCACCCTTGTCACCAGGGGAATGGAAAAGGAGCATGGCAGGAACCCAGGCATCGTGGCCCTGAAAATCCGCAGGCCTCCCCACGTTTGCCGGCCTTAGCTTCGAAGACATGCTTAAGGGAAGCCAAGAACAAATCAACTCAGCATGCAGTCACCACATCGCTTCGTCTTCACTGTAGAAAGTAGAAAGCTGATAGGTGGGTAAACGGGTCACCCGAATGTTTGGCTTTCCTGGGAAGTCAGATGTTGTCAGCCACAGCCTCACTACAACTACGTACAAACTCTACTGCGAGACCTTGCGCTTACGGTCGTCGCCTGCAAAGTGTAAGGAATACAAGCACTACTAGCTGCACCTTCATGTCGGAAGTTGATGTCGCCATCGTTGGCGCGGGCGTTGCCGGGTTGGCAGCCGCAGCTTCTCAGTCGAATGTGGCCGGTTTCGAACTGTTGGGCTCAATGGTGTGATTCGGTTCCTTGGACCGGGTGAAAGACCCACGGATTCACAGCAGTGGACATGTTCGATTCGGGGTTACCGCGTGACGCACTGGAGGTGACTTTGGCGGAGGAGGGGCTGAAGGTTCTTGTCCTTGAGAGCCGATCCATCCTCGGAGGGCGGGCGCGCAGCTGGGTGGATGGCGCGGCCTAGTGTGCAATAGCTCTCTTCTGGAGTCTTCGTGGATTTCCTTTGCTTGAGAGTTTCGCAGTTCGGCTACAAATTCAGAGTTTCAGCACGTCCAGACAAGCGGCAGGCAGTTTTGTGCTACCGTTTGTTCAGAAGATGTGGTATTCAGCCCGCCAAGCGTTAACATGTTCCTAGACTCGGTTTCCAGCACTTAGGCTTGTAGGCATGGCTACAAGATTGAGCCGCGAAGGTCACACGTGATCCCGTGCACATCGGCCCTCACGTGGTAGCACCTTGGACATGGCTCTCGGGAAATTCGCGTCAGCAAGCGGAGCCTCGGACAACCGAGGTGTCAGAGTACCCTAACTTCTTCAAACTGCTGGAGAAGCTGCAGACGCTGGACAAGCCGCTGGTCGCCCACGCAGGGCACAGGTGATGTTGGGAGTCGGTAGATAAAGAACTTGTGGCAGTAGCTTTCGAGGTGTAAAGCCATCTTCCAATCGCGCACTGGCCTGAGCAAAGAGAGAGCTAAGTAGAGTCTTCCTGCGACAGAACTAGAAATAAGTCAAGCTTCAAGCCCTAGCTAACCCCTTAAGCAGGTACCTTACTTAACAGCCCTCCTACCCCGGCCTCTCAGCTTGCCAGGATCGTTTGGCAGCCCTGGCGCCACTTCGTGACCTTTGTGCAGGGCAAGGAAGACTACCACATTAGGACAGCTGAAGCTCTGGGAGGAAGAGAGTCTCAGGTAGCGATGTAACGCAAGATGCCTGAAACCATCTGAAACCAATCAGAGCCGTTCCTTCAGCTTCTTCATCGGTTTCTGTTTAAGACGAAGCCACTCAGCTTGAGCCTCGCTGTGTCAGGACACAGCCTCTGCCTGCCCCGGCCTCCTGGGGCCCAGCTTCCATCTTGGACCCGCCCCTCGGCCCGACGAAGAGCGAAGCGCTGCGGAGCTCGCCGAGTGGCACTCGGTTCACCGTTGGGAACTTCATACGCTTTCTATATGAGATATAAAGGCTGGTTCTGCATGCTGCCGCGAGTGAAGTACTGTTGTCCAGTGTTCTTGGAGGGCTGGCGCTCCGCACTTGCTGGATTGCGCTTGAGCTGAATCATGCCTCTCCCATATGCGACATGCGAACAGCGCAGCCTAAAGCTTTGGTATACCCCAGCGGGCATTTGGAACATGAATCTTATCTTAACCGTCCGAGTCTACCCGATCTACAAAAAAAGCTGCTCGGGAACCAAATGAGTGTTTGAGTGGGAGCTGGGAGGGAGTAACTAGGAGTTCTGTCTGTCTGTCTGTCTGTCTGTCTGTCTGTGAGCATTAGCGGGTGTGAGTAAATATGTGGCCGACTTTGATGTGCGTCTCAGCTGCAACATGAGGATTCAAGCACCTAGGCTTTGAGTCTTGGGTTGCCTGCATCGTTGTTGACGTAGTCCCTGTGGCACAGCTTTTTGCTCTGCTTGCAGGGTGATATTCCGAGGTTCGTTACTTGGGCCGACAAGCACTCGACGGTACCGGCCGCAGTGCGCCGTGGCCATGCAGTTCGTGAGGAGCTTCATCTTTGTTTCGGCTCTTCACTTCATGGCCAGGCGAACTTACAGCTTGGTTCGTCATTGCGTCATCAGTCGTTGATAAGAATGTGTGCAGAGGGCAGATTTCGGCGAAGTGAGGCATTGCCTTAGCCTCGACGAGTCAGAGCTGTTGAAGCTCGCTGCTGGAGCTGCACCGAGATTGCCTGTTTCAAGCTTGCCGACATCGTTGTCAGTTGTTCTGTGTAAGTTTTGTTGCTGCCTTGACTTGCCAGAATGCTGTACAAGAACCCAATTTGACGAGGGTACGGTATCACAGCTGAAGGTGGTGTACTCTTGAGGCTTATTGTGGAAGCAAACTGTTTTTAGCGAAGGGGTTCTCACACCGCGGTTTCTCAAGAGGTTCACTGTGCTTTGCATCTATGTGTCTCTCCTTCTGACTATCGAGCTCGCCATCAGGCGATCATGACATTTGCTGGGAGTTGCGAATCCGACCTAGTGAAGGTGCTTGGGATGTGCCAGATGGCCCCGATGCCAATAAAAACTGCTCCGTTAGTATGTCATATATATATAGTGGTCCAACAGTATTTTTGCCTTCGGTAGCGTAGGAAACAGGTGGTATCTTGTTCATGTTCAGGAGTATGCTATGGTATGCTATGTCCTTCAGTAACAGTGTGCTGGGGTTCCAAGGAATTTGCTTCCGGACAGCGGGGGCCAGAAGCTGTTCCAAGGGCAAACGAGAGACTCACGGGCTCGTGCCGAAAAGCGCGAAGAACCGGCAAGGAATTTCCGATAAGCGTCCCAGATAATAATTAATTCTTGAGGACAGAAGGCATTCCAAGAAGTGTTCCGGACTTTCGGGTGTGAGCTTGTCTTTTCCAGAATGCTGTTTGAACATTTGTCGGAGGGGCGATTGCATAGTTAACGGTCCTGCAGCCTTCCCGTTTGTTCAGGTATTTGTTTGCAAAGCTGGAGGGAGTGGCCCCATTTCGTGGAGAACTCGAAGCTATTGTGCCTTTGTATTGGCTTCACGTAGCCCCGAGTCTCAGGATGGACAATCCGGTGCCGACTTTCTGAGAGGTCTCGGCGTCTCTGAGGCCACGGTGGGAGTCTCCTTGTTTTCCGAAGGATGCTTAAGAGTGCAGGCGCTGCGGCGCTGAATTCTGATTGCAATGGCAGGACTACATCAACCACTTTTGGGGGTTTCTGTCCCACGCCATTCTCAATGTGCCAGTGGAGGTGCGAAGCTAAAGTCCATGTGTGCAGCGCATGCTTGAACATGATACCACCTGAGCTTGGCTCTGTCACGTAATTTGGAACCATCCCCGGGGAGCCTGGCAGAGAATCCATGACCGTTTTCGGAGCTGGAGCAGTCGCAAAGCAACACCGCTACTGCGAGTGTTGCGGGACTGAACTCTGGTTCTTCAGCATGTTGTCCAGGTTTTGCCTTGTATTCGAGGCCTCAGTGTGGCCAGAGCTTGTTGCCGAAAGTAAGAAGGGCTATTGGTGGCACTTTTGAGCCATGCAAGTTTGCAGGAGGTGTCCGCCGCCGCCTTGGTACGCTTCTTTCGACGCCTCGTGGGCCGATCCTCCATGGAAATGGGCCGCTAGGCCTTGTTTTCTGCTTCTGGCTCGAGGGCTTGTTGGATTCGTTTCACCAAGTCATGTCTGTAGCCTGTAGAGACCACTGCTAGTAACTAGTACAACCACGTTGAAGGCGAGCATGCTTGCCATCTCAACCTATCACTGCTGCTGTCCTTCTCGATGCTGTTAGTGAGGGCGAGTTGTGCCTTAGGCTTTTCGGGATGCGGCTTGGGCGAGCTGCTTACGCCTGCGCGACTGGGACAAACAATACAAAGTGCAGAGAAAAGTTGCGACGAGACCGTCAAATCAGAGCTCGATTCAACATTCTCCGAGTACGGGGCTTCTGTGCCAGATAGCCAGATCCGTTTCGACTGACCAATCGGGTCTTCGTGAGGGGTTCCTTACTGCTTCGTACTGCAGCTATCCGGGGATCTTGATGTGCTTTAAGTCCGCCAATAGACTGCAGTCCCGCACGGTGTAAATCGTGCGGTTGGATAAACTCTTCGCATAATAGGTTAACAAGTTCATGTGAAGTGGGGGGCGCCCGAGGAAGCAGCTTCTCGAAAAGCTCGGCTCTTCCGTCCGCACAAACGTAGAGGCATCGCGGGGCACAGCACTGCACCTATTCTACAAGATGGGCAGTTCTTTAGGTGGGATGGTGGGACACAGATCCAGAACATAGGTTGTCAGGTGTCTGGCTGCAACATGTTGGGGACTCATTGGATTGCTCGTTTCCAAGACCGCCTCTACTTCCAGCCGTCACGACCTTGCCTCGTCTCCAACACTTGCTTGCCATATGCCGGATCTGCATTGGGAGCGTGGAACTCCCCGTACAGCAGCTGTGTGGGGCATCCGAAATCTGTACGGGCTTCTTTGGCGTTAGCAACACTACCACAGACACCTCAGGAACCGGTTTGTGGAGGTTGGCCCACGGGCAGACAGTGCGACAGGAACACTGCATTCCCAGTAAGAAAGAAGTTGCTGGACCACCATGCATCATTTGGAAACTTTAAAACCAAGAAGTTGCCCACGAGCCTCGCAGGTCACGGGTTTCCTGGGCAGTGCCCGCTGCGAAGGCGTGGTGCTGGATTCAGGCGCGCGCGTGCACCTCCAGACCGTCGTGCGAAGCCCAGGCCCCAGCCCCTTGCCACAGCAACCCTTTGCAGGCGAAGAGATCCGTCCGAAGTTGGGGGTCATCAGCTCTCTGCCGCCACAGACTTTTCTGCCGTTGGTGCCACCGGCGTGGGAGACCGCGGGTTTTCGAAGTCTGGAGGCCTTGAAGCCGTGCCAGTCTCTCGGACCTGCCTGGAGTTTAGGGGGCACCGTGGGGCACGGGCAGCGCGCATTTTCTCAATAAGAGGCCACCCGCCCTTTCTAATGGCAGTCACGGCTTGCCTACGCTCAGGTACATCTCTGTGTACATCTGGTTCGACCGCAAGGTCACGGAGGGAAAGCAGATGTGGGCGAGGACTTACAACAAGAACGACCTCAACTGTGAGTTTTACGACTTCTCCGAGATCTACCCTGGCAAGGAGTCCCATGCAGGGAGAGAGAAGTGAAAGTCATGGCCATGCGTTAAGGCATGGGCCGAATTTCTTCTACCTTGAAGTGCTTGATACATGTAGCGAGCTCTTAGCACCTCCATTGTGGGTATAATGGAGGTCGTTTTGGGAGGCCCGTCCGTCCTCAGAATCCTTCACATGACAGCTGGCCATCATGCGGCTGCAGTCTTTCATCAGCAGCCAACAACCAGGCTCCGTAGAGTCGAGCTTCGAGACAGGACTCTCGAGGCCAGCCATGGAAAGAGCGTGCGTCCTTCGTCGGCTCCAACATCATCGATTCAGGAAGGTGCGCATTCTCCAAAACATGGAAGGACGCAAGTAACAGGTCACCGAGTTGCATGGTGTAGGCAGAGATATCGGCTATGCCATTATGTAACAGGTGCATAGCAACCTAGGGTTTAGGCGGTTTAGGCCTAGGCCGATGAAGCAAGCAATATCCCCGAGTCCCCGAGTGTAGACCCAGCTGAAGCCGGGCCGGATGCTGGAGGCTGGCGGCCTTGAGCGACGAAGAAATCGTGCAGGGCACCCTGCGAGAGATGCAGGAGCTTCATAGCATCTGGCTCGTCATGTGCCAAGTTGCCAGTTGATCTCGGGCCAGGGTACTCAGACTTTGCGCAGTTTCTCACAGTCCTCACATTAGACTTCGCAACGCTGCAAATCAAAATCACAGTGTGACTGCAAGTCACCGGGGGCCCTTCAGGAGATCCAAGCTGGACAGTGGGTAACGAGCGGAGTTCAGCCCGGGGATGTGTTGGCAGCATCATTCGAGACCGCTGACGAGAAATGTGCCCAAAAGCCAAACGTCGAGAGAGACCCCTCTTTATTCACTTTGGCAAGCCTTCTCTCAGAAGGAGCGGTTCCCCAGAGCCATGGAGGCGAAGGTCCAGCACTCCGTGGCCACTGGGCTGTCAAGGGAGACGTCTCGGCTCTGAGCTTCTGCCCTTCGGGCTTGGGCGAGTTGGGCGGTGTCGGACTCTCCCAAAAAAGTGCGTGTGGACCCGTGACCCCGTGAGCTCTGCAGAGTGACAGACCAAAGGTGAACCGCATCCCCATGGCCATCCATCGCCCCGTGGTGGGCACTGAGTCTCTCCGGCCGGATCAGGCTCTCAAAGGGTATGAACGGGTGTATGGCTTGCAGGTTTAGAGCCTCAGGAAGTTCCGTTCAGCCCCGAAACCAGCCCAATCCGTCAGCCAGCATCACTGCCCAATATCGCAATGTGAAGCAAACCAGCCTGCTTTCACCGGAACCCCTCGGAGAAACATCCTGGTACAGCACTCGCGGCCAGCCCGTGAGGAAACATGCTGCCAGGCAACGAAAGTTCCAGGCCTCTATCTCTCGGGTTGCTGGACACGGACAGAATTCCCGCACCTCGTCTTCGCAAGGCCTCACCGCTGAAGCGGCGAGCACGTTGTAGACTGCTGCTGCTGCCACGATGGTTGTGGATGTTGTAGTTGCTGCTGCTGCTGCTTGTGGTGCTGGTGCGGGTGCGGGTGCTGGTGGTGGTGATGGTGGTGCTGCTGCTGCTGCTGCTGCTGCTGGTGCGGTGCGGTGGCGGCGGCGGCGGCTGCTGTTGCTGCTACCGCTGCTGCTGCTGCTGCTGCTGCTGCTGATGCTGTTGTCTTTATCATTATCGTTGGTGGCACGGCGGGTGTGACAATCTTCTTTGACTCTATGGATGTGGGTCACTCGAGCATTGGGAGCCTACGCCAGGGATCCGACCCACGACCGACTTTCGTTGAAGATTCATGCCAAGCTGCAGCGATGCACGTTTTGTTTGCAGCTTCCCACAGGAACCGCCCTCCTTTCTCGGCTCCAAGGAGTTCCATGGAGTCAGCGGCTCGCAGCGGCTTCCTCGCGGCGGATGCACTGCTCCGTGGCTCCGGGCGGCAGAGCCAGCAACTTGGAGATGCATTGGGCAGCAATCTCATTATACTATCGGCATGGCGGCGAGCTCCAGTTATGACCGACTGTCAGGGGTCACTTCAGCCCCGATTGTGGATATATGATATATCATAAGAACCCGAGTTAAGCCCGAAGCAGAACCCTCATAGCACATTCATGTCGCACGCTTTCTTACGTGTGTCTGGGTCAGAGCAGAAGCAGAGGAGGCACCTCCAATGGAAATCCCGTCGTCTTTGTTGCTAAGGGCTGCCGTTCCATATGGCCCGATCTCCCTTTCAGCTCGGCTGGTTGGGAAGCTCGACATCTTGAGGCTCGACCATGGGCCGTCTGGTATGTCTCTCCGAGCCACTTCCACTGAACTGGACCATCTCTTCGAAAGACCAGTTAAGTAGCCGCAAGTGGGGCGTTAGGGGCCCTGGCCACCCGGCCGGACTTAACCCCAGGCTGCAGACTCGACAGCAGCTGGGGAGCACAACTTGGAATGACTCTCCCATCCCCTGCTAGAGACAGGATACTGTCAGAATCAGAAACCTCCTGGATGGCAGGCCATTGCTGCTCGCACCACTCTTTCGAGGGCTGGTGGTGAACTCAGTCCGTTGTCCTTCGCAGCTTTGGACGTCATAGGGCCTGGAAAGCCTTCTCGGGGGCTTCAGGCTCCCCTGGCACTTTCGAGCGATTCCGAACAGGGGCATTGTTGGTGAAGTAGGTCGTCCGGTCTACCAATCCCGACAATCTTCCCCCATGTTTTGTGAGCACAAACCTCAACTTCACAGCCTGTTCTAACCGCTGTGAAGCTGCCTTACCGATCCGCTCAAGTCAGCAAGCCAGCAAGCCCGCTCAGCGTTTGTCAGGTTAGCTTGAGCGGCGGCGTGACGCCGAAGAGCAAGCTCTGAGACGCTTACGGCTTGAGATGAGCATATGCTGTACGAGGGCTGGGTTTTTTTAGGTTCCGTTGGCTCTAACTGGACAAAGTCGGATGAAGATTCAGCGGAACATATGCATTTCTGGATGGGGAAGCAAAAGGCATCTCGAGCAAGTGCTCGGCTGCGAATGGCTCCCGACGACGACGTTTGTTGTGTGTGAGAGCGGACTTTCATCCAGAGCCTACTGTTAACAAGATATATATGTGATTATAGTTAGTTTACGTTCAGGTTGAACAGAAGGCTGTGCCGCGAGCTGTGCACCGAGGTCGGGGGGTTAGGGTGGCTACGCCGCACCGGTGGTGGGCCGAATTTTCCTCTGATCTCCCTGGAGGGAGTTGGCAGAGCTGCAGTCAATATCAACTCGTGTGGCTCAAGGTCGCAGAGTTGGCGAGCGAGTTCACAGGATGTGCGACGGTTCTTAATGGTTTGAATGAAACAGATTCCGAGCAGTTAGTTTCTGATTTGGGCTAGCGTACCCTTTGATGTGTTGCTTGTCGGTGCCACACGGTCTCTTTTATTTCATCGTCTGAAAGACGGACGGCCAGCAAGCGGTGCGAAAATGATCGTCGAGACACTTCCTCCTGCCACGCGATGGTGCAGCCATGACGTGAGAGCAGTCGACATATATCAGTCAGAGCCGGCAGAGCGATTGACTTCGGATGCCTTATGCTAGGGTGAGCGGGGAACGCGGGCGACAGGGACGAATGAACAAGAAAGAGAGGTGGCATCAAAGGTGAGAGAGACAGTCAGAGAGAGAGAGAGAGAGANNGGGGGCGTAGAGGTGAATCCCGTGGCCGCAACCACACCCGAGCCCGACCCCGAAGGAGGAAGAACATGAAGGCCACGGCCTCATGCAGAGACACCCTGAAGGCCCGGCGGCACCCAGGAATCTGCCTCGAGCAATGAGCTCTCCTGCAACGACTGCTTCAACTTCTTGCTGAATAACAAAACCCCAACCTAGTGGAAGAAGTAGTGAAGTGACCCTCAACATGACCCTCGGCAGGAGGCGGATCACTGGGGCATAAGCGAGGGAGATCCAACAGTCCTCTCCGAGAAGCGGCCCACCTGTTCAAGGGGCTCGGCGTTCAAGGCATAACACTGAGACAGGATAAGGGGTGCGCCGACGCGCAGGGGGGCGGGGGGGGGGGGGGGGGGAACGGGCAACCCCTCCCCATACCTGCAGAAAGCAAGAGAGAGCGAGAAGCACAACGAAAGCAACCAATAAGGGAGCAGCAGACAGGCAAAATGGCATAGGTTCAGTTAGCATCGAAGAGAGTTGAGAGATCACGCAATTGGCCAGATGAACCAAGTGGGATGTTTCAACTCTTCGAAACGTGGTGGCTTTGCGGGGCTGCCACGGCTTCGTATGTGAGTTTCCGCCAGGCCCGCATCCCGTCACCCTTGCCCGTGTCTGCGCTGCGAGAGGCCCACGCATGTTATTCTTGCTAATCATATTTGCCAATCATGTTTGGTTGAAACTGTGAGCAAATCCCAACCGAAGTCTTCGAAAAGAAGCTTCCTATAGTGGTGTTGATCCGGCCCAGCTTTGAGTTTATATGATTTATATGTCACCCTCCGGGCGCAGAAGACGGACAAACAGTGACAGTTCTTGAATCCGGGATGCCCTGGCCGCGAGGGCTCCGATGCGCAGGGCTGGTGGCAGGCCCTGACCCCAGCTCCGGAGCTGTTCCTTCTGCGGATGTTTGAAAAGCCCTCCGGTACTTCTTCACTTCATCATATTCTATACAGTGGATGCAGGCCCCACTGTAGACTCGATGCGATGCCCAGATTCTCGCGGAGACGAGAGCCCAGCGGCGGGAGCTTGAACACCGAGGCGCCCGCCCAATCAAGATGCGGGATGATTGAATCGAATCTCTCTGCTGCACCTGAAACGCCCAAAAACCAGGTAGACATGATGCAGAAAGGGAGGCACACCAGACATGCTTGCAGACTTGATGAGGCGAGCTTGAGCGTGCAGCGCAGGAGGTAGCATGAGTTCCGAAGTCCGGGGCCCAAAGACCGCCCCCCCTTGGAGCCTCAGCTTGCAGGGTTCGAGGCATGAATCACACCACAGAGTCGAAGACTCTGTCAGAAGGACCCAGAATACGCTGCCTGAGCTGAGGGCTCAAGTCTCCGCGCCCCTTGGGCGCTTCGCGCAATCTTTGCATTGGCGCCGTCCGATGATGTTGTTTGCGGAGACTCTGTGGTAATGTAATGAAGCATCATACACGCCAACTAATGATTAGCAAGAAGGTGCACACGATGATTTGCGGTAGTTTACGGGTGAAATTGGCTCTTCGCACAAGATGACGTAGATGGCCTGTCATGTTCGAGGTTTTCTGAATTTAGTTCTTGGCCTGGCCGTGATCGTAGGCCCGCTTGTGCAGATCACAGACGAGAAATCCTTGCGGTTGTAGTCGTAGTGTAGTGGTGGAGGTGCTGGGGTCGGGGTGAGGAGGACTGCTCTGCACAAGTGCCTCCACTAGCGTCAACTAGTCTGGTTGTTTGGTTGGCGGGAGAA